TTGATGTGAGAATTAAACTGAGTTTTAATCATTTTTTCAAAATTCACAAAAACAGAGTAAGTTTCAGATTTATGTTTTAGGGGATAAATCCAGGTAAATTTGCTGAAATCATCAACAAAAGAGATATAAAATCGAAAACCGCTACAGGAAGGAACAGAGGTGGGACCCCAAACATCAGAATGTATTAATTGAAAGGGCGATGTGGCCTTATGTTTAGACAATTCAAAAGGTAAACGACAGGACTTAGAGACATAACATGATTCACAATGTAAAGGCTCGCAGATTTGGCAGGTTGGCAGATCCCGTGACGGTCGACCGTTTCCCTGGGACGGTCGACCGTTGTTCCTTTCTCCACGTCCGTTGTTGTATCCACGTCCAGGTGACGAACGACCGCGGTAGCCTCCTCTACCGCGACCTCGACCGTTCGTAGCGAGAAGTGTTGTGCGAGGTTCGGTGATGGTAGACTCGGTGAGGCTGAGTTTATTCTCCATCTCCAGGTTTATTTCTTCGGAGATCAACCATCCAGAAAGCTGATTTAACGAAATATTGGTATTGTTCATGCGAATGTTTTGCTTAAAGGATGAGTATTCGGTGGGAAGACCACGAATAACAACATTCACCACATCACGTTCAGGGATCTCTTCTTTCAAGGCATCGAGATTCGAGAGAATAGTTGCCACATCATCAAGGTATTGTGTCATAGTTTTGGTACCTTTACGAAGAGTGTGGAGTTTGTCCCGAAGCTGATAAACATGAGCGGTGGACACGGAGTTGTACCGTGCGGCCAAAGCATCCCAGAGGGCAGCAGATGTGGTGAAGCCGCGAGCATGTTTGTGAACGGAGGGGCTGATGACCGTTAGGAGGCAGGCGCGGATCTGTGTGTCAACGATGGTCCAGGAGGTATACTCTGGATTAGGGACGGTTTTATCGTTTTTGGAGATAGTTGGCGCCGGGGCTGCTTCATGACCATCAATCCATCCAAGGAGGAGATTAGCTGAAAGAGCTGTCTGGACATTGAGAGACCATGCCGGATAATTTGTTTCGGTGAGTTTTTCT